AACAGTAGTGAAACGTAGTATGATTCAGTTAGAATTTCGAGGCTAGCCTTTTCCCTTACTTATGCACTCATTCACTCCCATTCAATCATTCAAAACCATTAGATTGATGTTATTAGAAAGCTACACTGTAACCTTCACTTGTCAGCCACAGTTGAAACAACCACTATACCGGCCATCAAAAGCAGCACTTCAAAGAAGTAGCAAACCATTTGTACCAATTCAATGATTTTTAAACACAGTGGGAGCTAGAAGGCAGGATAATTGAAAATAGGGGTCTAGAAATAGACCCCCATTAACAAATGACTTTGTTTGGCACTTGAACACAATTTTTTACTTTCAGTCACAAAGTACATAGTGTATTTCTTACTTGGAAGCCCGCAGGTCCTCTCTTGACCTCTCTTCCTCAACCTCCAGTCCTGCCACTGCGATTTCCGCCCCCCTCCTCTCTCTGCTCTCCTCCTGGGCTCTCCACCTCCTCTCACTGCTCTCCTCCTGCCTCCTCTCTCAGCATCTCTCCTGCTGTCTCCTCTCTCAGCATCTCTCCTGCTGTCTCCTCTCTCAACATCTCTCCTGCTGTCTCCTCTCTCAACATCTCTCCTGCTGTCTCCTCTCTCAACATCTCTCCTGCTGTCTCCTCTCTCAGCATCTCTCCTGCTGTCTCCTCTCTCAGCATCTCTCCTGCTGTCTCCTCTCTCAGCATCTCTCCTGCTGTCTCCTCTCTCAGCATCTCTCCTGCTGTCTCCTCTCTCTGCATCTCTCCTGCTGTCTCCTCTCTCAGCATCTCTCCTGCTGTCTCCTCTCTCAGCATCTCTCCTGCTGTCTCCTCTCTCTGCTCACCTCCTGCCTCGTCTCTCTACATTTTTCCTGCCACCTCATCTCTCATCCTCGGAAACAGGGGTCCATCCTGTGGAAACAATATTGATATGTTATGTAATACTGTAGATTTAATAAGTTCACTGTGTAATCTTCAATACTAATTCAATACTTCAGTGGTTACGAACACTGGCCTCCAGGTACCTTTGGGTAGTGTGTATGGAACGTGAAGTAGCAATGGTTCATTCTTTAAGTAACTGTATGGATATAAAGCCATCAAGTCCCCATATAATGCAGATTTAAATGAGCATATCACCCCAACACAGTGAAAAACCTGACGCCACTACAGTACTCTCTGACGTTTAATGACTGATGACCACAGTAATAAAGCAACATCTTAACTTGATGCACACATATTTATCTCTCATCTTCCTATCCTGGTTGGAATTACAGCAAGTGTGCATACAGTATACTGGATTTCAGACTATTGCAAGAGTATCAAGAAGATAATGTAGCATTGGTAACTTGTTGGGTGAACTTTCTAATCGTAGGTTACCATTAATGTGAAAAAAATTATTTTTTTGATTTAACCTTTATTTAACTAGGCAAGTCAGTTAAGAACAAATTCTTATTTACAATGACGGCCTACCTTGACTATGATCATGACTTAATGATAGGCAGATATATCTTCATGTAAAACATCTCAATGTGACAATGACATACCTTGGAAGAACATCTCAAAAATAGTATTAATTTAGTCTATTATTGCCTGAACCCCTGTTGTATGGTGTTGTAGAGGCACTCTTACTGTCCCATTGTGTGCATCTGGAAGCGTTGGATAGGTGTAAGCGATATGCTGGTAGCTCCATCTTGACTTCTGACAGGCCAGGTGGGATTAAGGAAATGTCCTGGGTGTGATGTGCTGTTTTTATGTTGTTTTCTCATTGCTGGTACACTGGGTATTTTTGTTTAGCTAGCTAACTATGTCTCAAAACGCTTGCTGGATCTTTAATCTTGACTCTGCAAGACACTGCTTATCTCTGCAATACAGATACAGACAGGTAGCTAAGTACATGTGTACAAAATATATAAAACCACTGCTAACACTCTTTCCCCTGTTAAACACCTTAAATCTGTACTAATGTTACCCATCTAGCTAGCTACTGTATTTGTTGCTAGCTATTACAATTTAGACAACCAAGCTAGCTAGCGTTAGCTGACCGTTTTGTGAACGAATAAACTCGTGAGCATCGCATTCAGCTTTGCTTTTTTTACATCGCAAAACTAGAACTATGTTTTATTGCAAACTGACTAACTAGCTAGTTACAGTATTTAGCTATACTCATTTCTGATGGTCCATTCTCATCTATGACGTTTCCTGGCTGTGTCGCGTAAACAAATCCTTAGGCCCATGAGAGTAGAGTTGCTGACTTCGGACGTAACGTGACCGGATATTCTTCTTCTTTGCGACGTAGCCAGATCCATACAATTTACATTGTAGGTAGCGTTTAAATACCTGGGGTGAAATGTTGTGTGGGTGGATATGATTGATTAAATATGCCACTGATGATGGGTGATTAATTTACTTAAAATATAACACATTTCATCCTCTGAATGGCACACATACACAATCGATGTCTCAATTGTCTCAAGGTTTAAAAATGATTATTTAATCTGTCTCCTCTCCATCTACACTGATTGAAGTGGATTTAACAAGTGAAATCAATAAGGGATCATAGCTTTCACCTGGATTTACCTGGTCAACCCATGTCATGGAAAGACCAGGTGTTCATAAGGTTTTGTACACTTAAGGAAACATACATAATGTCGAAATAAACATGTTTATAGTGATGCATAGCATAAATTAGCCATTTAAATTTCATTGAATAAATTATATTTTATTTTATTCCAATTAAATTCAAATTCTACTTCTTGTGGGGTGTGTTCAATTAAAATGCAATAATTTTATTGGAATTAAAGATTAATTCACATTAGTGTGTTCTTCCACACAGACCTATATGTGTCACAAAAACCCAGGCGTCTGGGTGGAGGCAGTAGCCTACAATGCTCACATACCCTGACTGCGTCCCAAATGGCACTCTTTTCCCTAGTGCTCTGCTTTTGACCAGGGCCCACAGGGCTATGTATGGAATAGGGTGTAATTTGGGACACAACCACTGCATTGCCCCTCTCTCAAGAAGCGTACCCGCGCAGCAAACACGCGGCGAGAATGCTTCCCACCACTAGATCCCATCACTAGACGTGAGAGCACTGGACGTGATCCCAACACTGCCACCAGTGTAGCGGAAGAAAGTGAAAGCTGCAACAGGGACTCTAACCGTGGCTCATACGGAGGCAAAGTGAGCTCTAACAGCCTTGCCATGAAAGCCTAGGCCTCTGGGCAGAGGCAGTAGGGCTACAATGCAGGCATATGCTATGTTACAATAGCCTAAGTATATAACATGATTGACACGACCTTAATAATCATCATAAAACGGCATTGGAAGTGCCATAAGTGTAAGCCAACATAATTCATTATTTTACATGAACCTGATTAACTGCATTGGAATGGCTTAATTGATCATAGTCCAGACAGACTCATTATAGTTGCAAATACACCCATCTGAGCAGCAAAGACCAGAGTTGCACCAGGGGAATTTAAACCAAACAGATTGTTTTGCAGTACTTTTGTTTCCCCACACTTATTGATGAATTAATTTCCCACCATCATGAAAATGTATCCCCATTCCCCAAACATACACCTTCATCGAAATCAAACAAAAACTGACTAATCTGTCTTTTTATTCTGATCTGGCAACCCTCATAAAATCTGACATAGCACCAGTTTCCCAAAGTATTACGCGAAAACAAGCATCGAAAACAGTATTGGCATTAATAAAAAAATAAAAAAATATTATAATTATTTCGTTGACAACATGGTTGATTACCTATATTGGGTTGTTAACACGTTTTTTGTAATGTAAATAAATGATGGATACAAATAAAGGCAGTATAGAACAGCATTGCCCATCATGCATTGCTCCAATAACTTTCAAAAGATGAGTCGGAAGTGTGCCCCCAATAATGTATTTTCCTATGAATGAAGTCACACAAAAATGTGTGTATTTTCACACAAGTTATGCTACACAAAAACGCACAAAATCTGCTGCAATACTTTTTGTACATATTTGCGCGAATTGAATGTGAGATTGTGTTGTTATATTTCTAAAATAGCTGCTGGGATGGTGTAGATAAAATTAGGCTTCGTTACACACTGCAATGAATATTCCTACCCTGAGCCTTGGCCTGCTATGCTCTTGTGTGCTGCCAAACCAATGGCTGTGCTGTGTAGGCCTATGGTGGCACTTCAGGAGAAGAGTCAAAGGCTTCTTCCAAAAATAATTTTGATTAGGACTAGTCCAAAAAATGCACAATCTTGTGAGAGGCCTAGTTTATAGCCTACAGTATTCGCCTTATTCTGGAACTGCACAGTGATTGCGGCGAGTTAGTTGCAATTGTGTTTCTATTTCTGGCGACGCTGGCGCATGAAAAAGTGGTACTTTTAGTTGAGAGCTGGATAGTTTTATACTGACAGAACCGCACAAAATCCTAAAATCGATCAACATGACAAGCATTATATGTTCAGTACGAGGCTGTCACAATAATTGGATGAAGAGGCAGTTTTTACAACAGCAATGTTTTGAACACCAACCTCCATCGTCGATCTGAATGTACCTGTGGAAGCAGAGTCTTTGCGGCTCTGGCTCAAAGCGTTGAACCTAAAGAAACCACCAAAACGTCCCTTTGTGTGCTCCTACCACTTCTTTGACAAGAAGCCTACAGTGGAGCATCCTTACCCAGAAAAATGGCTTGGCTACGATGCTCCACTCGTGAAGAAGCGTCGGGTGTTGGTCAGGCAGTCATCAGTGACCGGTATGCCAAACGCTTGAGCAGTTTGTCTGCTCTCATTTTGTGTCTCCCTCTTGCTCTTCTATCTAAGCACAGTCTCATAATAGCACAATTTATTTCCACTACAGCTCAATAAAAAATTCCCATTTATTATATACTTAATTATTATGACTATTAAATATTATTAGGAGCGTCCATGCAGTATGGTGTTTTATTGCACGGTTTTGTTATTAATTGTCCATTGACTTGTTTAACAAGCCATACTGATTTCTTAACAGATGACAGAACAGGCTCAAGTGTACCACCAAATTGAAAATGGGGAGAAGGATGCCCAAACCCAATGGGAAGACCGATCTCTAAGTGATCACAACTACAGCTCAGGTGATCATGTAAAGCACACTACCTGTGAGGCAGGGACACAGTGCCCAGCAGCACCTATCTACAAAACCCTGCTGTGGAACGAAGCACTCTGTACACTGCATACAGGCTTGTCTCTTTCTGCCTTTTCTACCCTGGCGGAACATCTTCTACCCCTCTACAAAGGCAGTGTCGTATCGAGTGAGTGGTGGCAATCATTGCTGATAAACAAAGGAGTCCGCTCATACTGAATCCTTGATCATAAGTTTATTCGTATCACAAGCTTTCAGCATGAGTGACAGATGTCATGACATCCGGAGAGCGACGCCTCAGAATGGCCGCTCTGCCCTTTCTGTGTCTAGCCCCTATTTATAAAAAATGCAAAAAGATGGGTGGCTCCCTCTTCTGGCCAATCACCAGTCTCCCCTGGGGCGTCACCCCACAAACGGCTACATTTGAACTAAGATCATAAAAACATTTCATTTCCTCAAGAAAAACATTTAACAAAGGCATAATCCCAATACACGACATTTCCCCCCTTCGAGACGAACTAAACGTCTCGAAAACAAACAGAATAGGATTATGACAAGTGACAATTTATCTTATTGAGTATCTTTAACATTAAACCAAAAAACATTATTCTCTAGAGTGTAAATACCTTTCTATGAAATATGAATAACTGTTTATGAAGTGTGAATACATTACTATGAAATATGAACAAATCTTTATGGAGTGTAAGAGTGAAAAAACTGTCCGGCAGCCATCTTTTCAGATATCCATCCATCAATCAAGACAGTAAAATTCTCTCACGGTCCCTCTGCCCCAGGCAACCACCTAGATACTCCAAATAAACTCATAAACCATGTAAATGCATTTGAAACTATGATGTAATTAAATACACATGTAAGCCCCTGCAAACAAAATCCTATCCAAAAAATATCCACTCTAAGGCTGGTCAACCCATTGGACCCTACAGTGGACCTCTCCCTGCCTAGACTCCCTGTCCCTAAGCATTCACGAAATAAACAAAAACATCTAAGATCCCCACATGTATCCAATAACATCAAACATCATTCTACAAAACTTAATACCTAAGAATATGACACAATTATGTATTACACATCAAATACGTCTATATTTCATTGCAGACACTGGAATGTAGTCTACTACACTTCATCTCCCCGTAGTCTCGACTTCCAATGGATTTGTTGATGATGGAATCGGCCACACCCTCCTTGTTTCATCTCCTCCAGTCATATTGTCCCTTCATAATATTGTCCTTGTTTGAGTATTTCAATCTCCACATGTCCCCCAAATGCTTCTGAAAGAAAAGGAAAGACCAAACAGTATCTTTTGCAAAACAACACTTTCAAATTGAACATCAATATCAACTAAGAATATAGAAATGATATATAAATGATGTATGAATCACATTAACCATTTCCCCCCTCTGATTCATAAAATCATACCAAAATCACCCCAATATTGAAAAAAAAAAAAAAAAAAAAAAAAGTTTTTGAAAAATGATCAAAGCATTAAAAATGATATTTATCCATTCAGTTCCACTTGTCCATCTTCATCCAGATCAGGAACAGTCAACACCGGCATCTGAGTGTTGTCTCCAGGCATCACTCTCCAACCTATCTCAATATCATAGCTTTCTCAAAGGTCAGTAACAAATTACAAACATCACACAGTGTTATCAAAGCTGCCATTAAATGTAACCCATCACTGCCCCTACTGGCCTACCTGATCTTGCAACCAAGTCTTCTCAGATCTCCCAAACGCATCCCTTATATTCTTCAATGCATCTATAACACTCGTGATATTATCGGAACTATCTGGAGTCAAAGTATACCTAATATTATCAATATGATCTTCCCAAATGTTACACCATACCATGGAAAAAGTCCCCCCTTCTCCCTTAGATTTATCCTTCAATGATAGGCTTGAAGACTATGACATGTAGCCATGTCTCTTTTCATCCAATTTCAAATATAGCTTCAGATTTCTGTCCGATGCTACCCCTCTTATAATGGTAAAAACCTCCTATGGAAGCTTCAACGTTGACATGTAACAACATCCTGTCTATCCATAGGGTAAGAATATATATGCTTTATCACCACAAACCCTCAAAATATCTCTAAAATTCCCCATAGTCACATTGTCAGGCAAAAGCTAATCTTTTACCATCAAAGTCCTGCTCTTCTTACTACCTGGTACATAAAAAGTAACATATTTCTCATTACTACCCTTAAGGTCATGCATACCCAAAGTTATCATATAACATCACAATCTGATATTCCCATAAACATACCCCTTACCTCATATGTTTTATTAGAACAAAAACAACTTTTAGCCCTCAATGGTTACACCTCAAATGCTTCAGGGTTTGCTGTTACCTGATTTTACTTTCCATCTAACAAATGCACCCAAGTTAATTCACTTAACCCAATAACACCTAAACCTAGGCTTAAACAAATGTTTTGACAACGACATTATTTTATCTGTTACTGACTGTTGCTGATACCACAGTCATGACAAAGCATAAGATTGACACATACTTGATAGAGGTCGAGCGACCGTCTCTAACATGTTTGTTGCTGGAATTCTCAACAGACATGGACCCTCAAGATTCCTCACTGATCTTACAGAATGAGCTGCTGGAACCTGCCCATCTATCTCTAATTTTCACAACAGAAGAATCAAACCCATCCATTTAGTTTCTCTCTTCCCTAACGAGCGGTACTGCAGATACCTCTCCTTGTCTGTCATTAAAATCAAAGACCTCATCCTGTACCTCCATGATGAATCTATATTCTCTCTACTACTATCTGTTCTCCTATTTTAAGTCCTTCTTGCTACCCCTTTAATTTCAGAAAAGTTGTTGTCGGTGTCATACTTCCTACATTTGCTATTGCCATCGTATCATTAATCCCTTCCAAAGTTACCATTAAAGTAGTTGATTTAGCTGATGTATCAACCTTAATTACTTCTAGTGCGAAGGTTCCCGTTATCCTCTGTGTATTATCTACTGTTGGAGTGGCTACTGTAATCTACTCCTCCTGAACTCCCTCAATGACTGTGGAGGCTACAACAGACCTCAACTCTTCCATTATAAGCGTTACTTTATGAATTACATAGCCTTTTAACCAATAATTCTTAACCGGAACAAATTTTAATGCTTGCACTAGATAAGTACACATATATTCTCCCTGATCTTTCTCTGTGACATTACGCCAAATAAGTGAACAGTCACTCATAACCCTCTTCCACTACATATCGTTGTACAAACTATATCTCCTTTGATTAGGTGCAACAGCTTGCTTCTACTTCTGGTCCTGATATCAATACTTCTTCTCCATAATTATCTCTCCATGTGGGAGGAACGTCCCCATCCTAACCCTAATAAGTATTTTCCCCTAAAATTGGTGCTGGAGCTATTGGTTCCCTTATAATCAAATGCGATATATTTATGGCTTTAATAACTATCAATGTTGAAAGAGTTAAATTGCTTCTCACTGTTGTTTTAATAGACTGAAGTGTTAATGTCCTTAGTTACTTCATCCATTTTCCAAAGATTTGAAGTCTTTGCTTGTACTTCCATCTATCACCACTAGTTTCACTTTTTCCCAACTCTCAGTCCTATCTCTAATCCCTGACTTTCAAACTTTTGATTATAAAAAATACACCTACAATTACCTTGATCTCCCTGCTGTAAAGTGTCCTTCACCACTGTTCTCTCTCTCTTACTACTAACTTTGAAACTTAGCTTACTGTCTTAGAGTTCCTTCAACCTAGTTCTCCTAACTTATTTTAATCTAATCTTTTCTCCTAACCTTTAAAAACCTTTTCCACTGATTTATTTACAAAATCCCTTTACCACCAAATTTTTTGAATATGTGATTGGGAAAGTCCCCACCTGCTTCTGACTTTACACACAGACTTGGCAAACGACTAAACACCTTTTAGCCTAGCCTGAAATCTCTTGGTGTAAGAATGTAACCCAGAATAACAGTCATCCCTTTTAACTTTATTTTTCAGACAGATTGTCTAATAGGCAGTCTAATAGATTATCATCCTTCCTATGATATTATCTTTTTAAGCAAATATGATTCCCAAAAACCCTACTTTTTAAAATCTTCTACCAGACAGCCGTCTAGTGTACATCTTATTGTACAGTTCAATTTACACAATGCATCTCTTCCCAATAATGCAATAGGTATATGCTCTAATATTAGTATCTTAAGAGTAATTAACTGTTTTACTACCTCAAATCCCTATCCTAATTAGTTAATTTTACATAGTGAGATGTTTAACCTCTTTAGGCTGAACACAGATAAAAGCTTTTACACTATACACTATCACTTCTCATAGTCCTCTGGTTTTACTTCAATTGTTAGATATTTTCTCTTCTCTAATCGGTGCTATCAGCTGACACCCCCCTTCGTATCTTCTAGGCACTAACAGGTGATCTCGACTGCCCCTGTATCTTCCTTAAAAATGTTCTCTGTTGTTTCCTCCTGACTTGTTGCATTAACAGGTAAAGTGACCAACCTGTCCATAATTATAACAGTCTTCTGAAAGTTGCTGGAAGTGTAGCTGAAATCTTCCTCCTCCTTCTAAGCCTTCTCGTCCTCTTCCTCTCCAATTCTGTGTCTGTCCAGAAAACTGGCTGTGGATATGGAACACCTGGTACCCCCCTTGGCTGGTACAATTGCATTTGATATTGTTCAGTTGAAGCTGTAGCAGTGATTGTTGATTTGGTTCACTCTGATTCTTCATAACCAAAGCTTCTCTTCTCCACCAGTTGTATGATTGAGTTTTCTGAGAGTTTCTTCATCCTGTTCTTTGTTGTTGACATATCATGATTCTTCAACAGCTTATATTCTAAGTTCTGTCCTCGAAATATCATCTTCCATCATCTTCTTACTTTTCTTCTGTGCCAGTCCTTGTAGGATAAACTCCTTTTGAATACACAGCACCTTTAGTCCCCTCTTTATCGCTGTCTTCATCTGAACTCGAATCTCTTGTATCCTTCTTCCTTCAACTTCCATCAGAGATCAAATCTCTAGTATCCTTCTTTCCTCTCTTGCCAACTTCCTTCTGATCACAGAGTCATATCCACCCATGATCTCTTCTCAATCACTCTGATCTTCATCTTCATCACCTTCTTCAAGTTCCATCTTCCTAACCTCACTCTTCTCTTTCAGACATCTCATTTTCTTCCTTCTGGAGTTCTGGATTCATCTTCATTGTTGTTTCTGCTTGCCCTCTATCTACTATTCATCTTCATCTCTGATGCAACAATCACCCTCCTGGATGATCCCTGGAAGCTGAGGATAAACATCCCTAAGCTCTACTTCCCTTAGCCTTATCTCTATAGCTTTGTTTATCTTATCGCTGGAATCTTTTATCCGTTTTTGTTTGAGAATGAAGGGCAACATTTGTTTCATTTGCCGGATAACCTAGCAATACTTTAGTTAAAGGGTTACTATTTTGTACTATATCAATCGGTGTAATGACTTTTATAGCCTTGATGTCGTTTTTCCCCATTGTAACAACCCTTTTATATTCCTTTATCGTGAAATATTTTATTTTAGACTATATAGCCTATGGCTTCCCCCCTCTAATTATTAATATAAACCTAACAACTCCAAAAAAAAAAAAAATATATATATTTCTTTTTTAAATAAATCAATTAAAAATCATGAATAATTAAAACCAATTTTTATTCCTATATCCTATGTCACCAATTTATCAATTAGTGGTGGCTATCTTACCACAACCCATCAAATGCAAGTAGTCAACTTCAGACTAAAATACCCATAAACAAAGCCTCTAACCCTACCATTACTACAATTCCCATAAACCCCCTTGCTCTATAGGCACCTAATTATCTTAAATTTACAGAATAATGTCAGTCCTTGATTCCCAACACATCTGTAATTAACCCAAGTGATGCACATAGCCTCCAAAATGCAATTTTTAATGAAATAGTATTTGCCAAGCCTATGTGAAATTGTCAAAACATCAAAGAAGATTTTGTAAGGGATGATTTTGTGAACTAGCCTGATATCTGATCCTCTGCCTGCGTCACACCTTGTCACGTGACGCACGTCAGCACTTCCTGTATCTCTCTCTCTCTCTCCTGTCGTATCGTCCTATTGCTCCTCTCATATGACAGAAGAACAGAGACACAGGAAAAGATTTTAGTAGTTAATGCAATCACTGAGTTATTTCAAGCATATTCAATATTCCTTCGTTCATATTCGCTTCAAGACTTAATTTAATTCATTACGTATTTTATTTTAATCCGTCATTTAACTCAGGACTAAATAGATCGCTCAAAAACATTTTATTTAATTTTAATCGTCTTCTAATTCAATTTATTATAATCCGTCAACATATCTCTCTCATTTATCAATTCAATAGGTCACAAAACAAGTTTCATCTTTAACCAACCGCCGCTTTAAACTATAAGATTCGCGTTAAAATCTCTCTTCTTTGTTCCCACGTCTGTGTCTCTTCCTGCAGCATGCAGCCCCCCAGAAATATGACACGTTACCCACAATCCCGTTTTTGTAGTTTTACTATACCCTCGTGTTGTAGTTTAGTGCCGTAAACCAAAACGTGTCCTAATCTCGTGCCATAAACTCCCCCATTTAGCATTAACCTTAGCCTTTAGCCAACTGCGGCCTACCACGCCCTAAGTAACCTTGCATTGTGCCCAAATCATTGTCCATATATCACCTGCTAACTTTATGCTGCCGTGAGTTCTGGATAATTATATGAGCGGTCACCCCAAACGAATAACCCGTCGACTATAAGATGAGCATAACATACACTATAACCCGTCCAGCTCATGGTTCCCAGAACCAACCTGACACCACACTAGCGCGTTGCCCGGATTTATGGCCCACTCCTAAAGAGTCGCCTCGTTTCGAGGTCTTTCCAGATTCACAATGCCCTAATTGCATACGTATTCCTGACTTCATTCTGCCAATATCTGCCGTTAATATCTCTACCATCGATTGCTCTAAAATTCCAAGCCTACTCTCCCCCTTTTTGCCCTGTCTACCAGTGCAACAATTGATAATGATTAGCCAGACCCTCAGTAATCAGCAATAACGCCACCCGAGGCACGGTCGTAATGGTACATTCCTCCAGTGTACACAAGCAGCAACAAAACTAACAACTTAGCTGTGAGGAACACTCACCCTTGTCTGGTCATGACTCCAGACCGAAGTTAGCTTGGCGGCTACGAATGAGCAAAGGAGAGATGCAGACCAGCCCCACGTTGGGCGCCATTTGTCGTATCGAGTGAGTGGTGGCAATCATTGCTGATAAACAAAGGAGTCCGCTCATACTGAATCCTTGATCATAAGTTTATTCGTATCACAAGCTTTCAGCATGAGTGACAGATGTCATGACATCCGGAGAGCGACGCCTCAGAATGGCCGCTCTGCCCTTTCTGTGTCTAGCCCCTATTTATAAAAAATGCAAAAAGATGGGTGGCTCCCTCTTCTGGCCAATCACCAGTCTCCCCTGGGGCGTCACCCCACAAATGGCTACATTTGAACTAAGATCATAAAAACATTTCATTTCCTCAAGAAAAACATTTAACAAAGGCATAATCCCAATACACGACAGCAGCATTCAGTTAGACCTGACAGACCAACTCCTGATGACACTGATGAAGCTCAACTTGCTGCAGCAGTACCTAGCAGAAAGGTTTAGTGTTTCCCAGAGTATTGTCAGTCGAGTGATTAGTTATTGGATTGACATGATGGAAGATAATCTGAGGGAGTGCATTCCATGGCTGCCAAGGGAGACCATCCGTGCTACAATGCCACAATGTTTTAAGGACCACTACCCAGGAACAACCTGCATTATTGACTGCTCAGAAACTGCTTTACAGAAGTGCAAGAATCTGTATTCAAGGGGGGAGTCATTCAGCCATTACTACGCCCAGAACGCTATCAAGTAACTGGTGGCCATTGCACCTTGTGGTCTAGTGATGTTCATCTCCTCAGCATACAGTGAGGGAAAAAAGTATTTGACCCCTCTGCAAAACATGACTTAGTACTTGGTGGCAAAACCCTTGTTGGCAATCAGGTTGGCACACATCTCAGGAGGGATTTTGTCCCACTCCTCTTTGCAGATCTTCTCCAAGTCATTAATGTTTCGAGGCTGACGTTTGGCAACTCAAACCTTCAGCTCCCTCCACAGATTTTCTATGGGATTAAGGTCTGGAGACTGGCTAGGCCACTCCAGGACCTTAATGTGCTTCTTCTTGAGCCACTCCTTTGTTGCCTTGGCCGTGTGTTTTGGGTCATTGTCATGCTGGAATACCCATCCACGACCCATTTTCAATGCCCTGGCTGAGGGAAGGAGGTTCTCACCCAAGATTTGACGGTACATGGCCCCGTCCATCGTCCCTTTGATGCGGTGAAGTTGTCCTGTCCCCTTAGCAGAACCCCCCCCCCCCCCAAAGCATAATGTTTCCACCTCCATGTTTGACGGTGGGGATGGTGTTCTTGGGGTCATAGGTAGCATTCCTCCTCCTCCAAACACGTCGAGTTGAGTTGAAGCCAAAGAGCTCGATTTTGGTCTCATCTGAACAAAACACTTTCACCCAGTTCTCCTCTGAATCATTCAGATGTTCATTGGCAAACTTCAGACGGGCATGTATATGTTCTTTCTTGAGCAGGGGGACCTTGCGGGCGCTGCAGGATTTCAGTCCTTCACGGCGTAGTGTGTTACCAATTGTTTTATTGGTGACTATGGTCCCAGCTGCCTTGAGATCATTGACAAGATCCTCCCGTGTAGTTCTGGGCTGATTCCTCACCGTTCTCATGATCATTGCAACTCCACGAGGTGAGATCTTGCATGGAGCCCCAGGCCGAGGGATACTGACAGTTATTTTGTGTTTCTTCCATTTGCGAATAATCGCACCAACTGTTGTCACCTTCTCACCAAGCTGCTTGGCGATGGTCTTGTAGCCCATTCCAGCCTTGTGTAGGTCTACAATCTTGTCCCTGACATCCTTGGAGAGCTAAGAGATAACATTTTTGACATGCGTTTTTCTGGATTTTGTTGTTGTTATTCTGTCTCTCACTGTTCAAATAAACCTACCATTAAAATTATAGACTGATCATTTCTTTGTCAGTGGGCAAACGTACAAAATCAGCAGGGGATCAAATACTTTTTTCCCTCACTGTATGGAGGTAGTTGTAGTGACAAATATATAACATCGGATTCTGGGTTCCTGGAGTACCCCTGTCCAGGTGATGAGGTCAATGCTGACCGGGGCTTCACAATCCGTGATCTGCTACACAAGAGGAAGGTCAAATTAACAATTCCAGCCTTCACAAAAAGAAGCGCACAGCTGTTAGAGGAGGACACCACATGTACAAGATGGATAGCTAACGTGAGGGTTCATGTGGAACGCGTAATTGAAAGGCTCAAACGGTTTAGAATCATCTCACAGACAGTGCCAATCAACCTCTCATCTAAAATGGACAAAATACTTCAAATCTGTGCTGCCCTGTGTAACATTTTCATAATTTAGCAGATGCTGTTATCCAGAGCAACTTACAGTAGACATAGATTACTTCTTTTTTTTTTCATAAACCCGTGGGAATCGAACCCACAACCCTGGCGTTGCAAACACCATGCTCTACGAACTGAGCTACATCCCCTGCCGGCCATTCCCTCCCCTAGACGACACTGGGCCAATTGTGCGCTGCCCCATAGGTCTCCCGGTCACGGCCGGCTACGACAGAGCCTGGATTCGAACCAGGATCTCTAGTGGCACAGCTAGCACTGCGATGCAGTGCCTTAGACCACTGCGCCACTCAGGAGTACAACCTGTGTGGTGATATCATTCATGAAGATGCTGAATGATCTGACCAGTCAAATGCCATTCACAGGGTCGATTTCCCAATATGAATTAAAGTTGTGTCAAAAGTTACGTTCAATAAATTTCAATTCATTCTATAACAATTCAACTTAATTATTTGTTTTACATACTCATTAAAATTTATAAAAAACAAAGCCCATAAAACAATTTCCACATTACTGTGACTGTTGATGCATTAAGTCAGGCTTTTTAATTGAAAAACAATTTGTTAATAGTAACTGCAAACAGGAGAGACATCTGACTACATACTTCTACAGAGCTGCATTTATTTGTCACTCAGTGACAATCTGCCTGCCTGATGCTCCTCAACAATAAATGGCAGCATGTGTGTAAAGTAGAATGCCTTCAACCTCAGGACAGCCTCTGCACAGAACTGTGCCTCATAGGGAACAGGGTTGACAACTTGCTGCGACGGAGTCCAGATGAGCACCTTACTTTCTCTCAGTCCTGTGCAAAACATACCAATTTGCACCTGCATGTAACAGCCTGCGTTGTCTTGGCTGTGTACTTAGGGTCGTTGTCCTGTTGGAAGGTGAACCTTCACCCCAGTCTGAGGTCCTGAGGTCCTTTAGGTGCCTTTTGACAAACTCCAAGCGGGCTGTCATGTGCCTTTTACTGAGGAGTGGCTTCTGTCTGGCTACTCTACCATAAAGGCCTGATAGGTGGAGTGCTGCAGAGATGATTGCCCTTCTGGAAGGTTCTCCCATCTCCACAGAGGAACTCTGGAGCTCTGTCAGAGTGACCATCTGGGTTTTTGGTCACCTCCCTGACAAAGGCCCTTCTCCCCCGATTGTTCAGTTTGGCCAGGCGGCCAGCTCTAGGAAGAGTCTTGGTGGTTCCAACCTTCTTCCATTTAAGAATGATGGAGGTCACTGTGTTCTTGGGGACCTTCAATGCTGCAGAAATGTTTTGGTACCCTTCCCCAGATCTGTGCCTCGACACAATCCTGTCTCGGCGCTCTACAGACAATTCCTTCAAACTCGTGGCTTGGTTTTTGCTCTGACATGCACTGTCAACTGTGGGACCTTATATAGACAGGTGTGTGCCTTTCCAAATCATGTCCAATCAATTGAATTTACCACAGGTGTACTCCAATCAAGTTGTAGAAACATCTCAAGGATGATTCATATAAAAAGGATGCACCTCAGCTCAATTTCAAGTCTCATAGCAAAGGGTCTGAATACTTATGTAAATCAGGTATTTCTGTTTTTTATTTTTAATAAATTAGCAAAACTTTCTAAGAACCTGTTTTCGCTTTGTCATTATGGGGTATTGTGTGTAGATTGATGAGGGAAAAAAACAATTTAATCAATTTTAGAATAAGGCTGTAACGTACCAAAATGTGGAAAAAGTCAATGTTGTCTGAACACTTTCCAAATGCACTGTATATTCTTTTCAGTTTGATAAGGAGAGCATGAAGATGAGCAGGAGGACCTGAGGTCAACTTTGATAGCTTGCTACTACTATAATTGATTTTATTAAAAACAATATGTTTATTGCCCATGATTTAGGCCTATTTGTCAGAGTTATTGACCTCACAATAAGCCAGATTCTAGTAATTTACATTGTAACTTACATTGTGGTCCTGAAACACGGCACAATCAATTGGAAATGGAAAGCTTATGGTGCTGAAAGTAGGCGAATTCGAGTAGGCATTATTAATTTCAAACCGTCTTCATTTTCATTAGACTTTACTAACTTCAAAAGGGCTTTGTGTTGGAGCCTATTTCTTCCTATTTAATAATTAAGAGGTAGGCCTACTTGTTTGACAGACGAAATTAAGCTATAGGCTGCTACAGTGGCTTGCGAAAGTATTCACCCCCTTGGTATTTTTCCTATTTTGTTGCATTACAACCTGGAATTAAAATAGATTTTTTGGGGGTTTGTATCATTTCATTTACACAACATGGCTACCACTTTGAAGATGCAAAATATTTTTTATTGTGATACAGCAATTACAGCGGCAAGTCTATTGGGGTATGTCTCTATAAGCTTGGCACATCTAGCCACTGGGATTTTTGCCCATTCTTCAAGGCAAAACTGCTCCAGCTCCTTCAAGTTGGATGGGTTCCGCTGGTGTACAGCAATCTTTAAGTCATACCACAGATTCTCAATTGGATTGAGGTCTGGGCTTTGATTAGGCCATTCCAAGACATTTAAATGTTTCCCCTCAAACCACTCGAGTGTTGCTTTGAAGGAACCTCCGTCCCAGTCTCAAATCTCTGGACGACTGAAACAGGTTTCCCTCAAGAATTTCCCTGTATTTAGCGCCATCCATCATTCCCTCAATTCTGACCAGTTTCCCAGTCCCTGCCGATTAAAAACATTGCCACAGCATGATGCTGCCACCACCATGCTTCACTGTGGGGATTGTGTTCTCGGGGTGATGAGAGGTGTTGGGTTTGCGCCAGATATTTTCCTTGATGGCCAAAAAGCTCAATTTTAGTCTCATCTGACCAGAGTACCTTCTTCCATATGTTTGGGGAGTCTCCCACATGCCTTTTGGCGAACATCAAACGTGTTTGCTTATTTTTTTCTTTAAACAATGGCTTTTCTTCTGGCCACTCTTCCGTAAAGCCTAGCTTTGTGGAGTGTACGGCTTTAAGTGGTCCTATGGACAGATACTCCAATCTCCGCTCTGGAGCTTTGCAGCTCCTTCAGGGTTATCTTTGGTCTCTTTGTTGCCTCTCTGATTAACGCCCTCCTTTCCTGGTCTGTGAGTGTTGGTGGGTGGCCCTCTCTTGGTAGGTTTGTTGTGGTGCCATATTCTTTACATTTTTTAAAATAATAGATTTAATGGTGCTCCGTGGGATGTTCAAAGTTTCAGATATTTTTTTATAACCCAACCCTGATCTGTACTTCTCCACAACTTTGTCCCTGACCTGTTTGGAGAGCTCCTTGGTCTTCATGGTGCCGCTTGCTTTGTGGTGTTGGAGACTCTGGGGCCTTTCAGAACAGGTGTATATATACTGAGATCATGTGACAGATCATGTGACACTTAGATTGCACACAGGTGGACTTTATTTAACGAATTATGTTACTTCTGAAGGTAACTGGTTGCACCAGATCTTATTTAGGGGCTTCATAGCAAAGGGGATGAATACATATGCACGCGCCACTTTTTCCGTTATTCATTTTTTAGAATTTTTTGAAACAAGTTATTTTTTTCATTTCACTTCACCAATTTCGACTATTTTGGGTATGTCCATTACATGAAACCCAAATAAAATTCCATTTAAATTACAGGTTGTAGTGCAACAAAATAGGAAAAACGCCAAGGAGGATGAATACTTTTGCAAGGCACTGTAGGCTATAGGCTATGCGCATCACTTGGTCCAATTTATCGAGTCAGTTATTGTTTTCTTGCGCAAACCGCGAGCAACACGTTGGGCGACAACCTTCCATATAGCCTACTAAATCAGACCACATAGATTTAGCCTAACTACGCAAGCGAACCAGGAGTCGAAAGCTCTTTTTCCGATGCGACGTTGGCTACCTGCACACAGGTTTAGTAACATACTATGCAGGGTTGCCAGGTCAAATAAAATGTCTAAAACAATTACCCATGAAAACTCGCCCAACAAGTCCTGAAAACGTCCCTTTTTTGGGGGGCAAACTCCAAAGTCCTCTGATAATACTAGTCCCGTGCGAATTGACATCCCTGTGTTTTGAGAGAAACGGGACTAGTATTATCAGAGGACTTTGGAGTTGCCATAAAAAAAAGGGACGTTTCAGGACTTTTTGGGCGAGTTTTCATGGGTAATTGTTTTAGACATTTTATTTGACCTGGCAACCCTGCGTAGTATGTTACTTTACCTGTGTGCAGGTAGCCAACGTCGCATCGGAAAAAGAGCTTTCGACTCCTTGTTCGCTTGCGTAGTTAGGCTAAATCTATGTGGTCTGATTTAGTAGGCTATATGGAAGGTTGTCGCCCATAATTTTGTTTCTCCTTTGAAACATTCCGGGGTCGTTCCAGAGGGAATGATAACTGGAACGTGCACTTTCACTTTTACTTACTAGCCTACTGAAATGTAAAACTCGGAAAGAAGGAAATGGCAGTCTACTTTTTTGGGAAAGTTATCATACCGTTTTTGGCTTATTTTTTTGGTGAGTATTCTATACTAAGTTCTGCCCGTTTATTGATTTGTAGGAAAGTAATTTGACCTTGACATAGTCATTGTGCACTGTATTACGGCCAAGGTCTGTTCAGCCGCACAGTCTGGTCCAGTCGATTATTAGTCATAAAACATGTTATAGTGTACCTCTAATTACACTGCTTTGAGTGTACATTAGATAGTCTGTATGGTATAGACATAGGCCTCTGTTTACTACGAAATATCTTATAATTTATTTTACTAGGCAGGGGCAACTCTTACACTACGAGGTCCAGATTCTGCTGGTTTTCTGTTCTACCTGATAATTAATTGCACCCACCTGGTGTGCCAGGTCTAAACCAGTCCCTGATCAGAGGGGAACAATTAAAACAAGCACATTAACTGTCTTCGAGGTCCAGAGTTGAGTTTCGATCAATGACGTGTATAAACGCGCAGCCATCTTGGCACTCCTCAACTGTAAAAAATATTTTCGAAGCTATAGAAATGCATTTATTAATGCCTACATTCGTTTTTGACATGTTTATTCTATATCAGAGACCTTAATGCATACTTTTAAATTGTATTATGTGAGCTGAATATAAAAATGAAAACATCAAATCAAGCTTTATTTTATACAGCACATTTCAGACATGGAATGCAACGCAATGTGCTTCACAGGAAAAAAACGAATAAAACCAATGACAATAAAAACAGAAATCTTTACTACACAAAAACAAATGAATAACAATAAAAACGGAATGACTAAAAAGCACCCTAAGGAAAAGCAAAGCTAAAAAGGTGTGTTTTAAGATCTCTTTTAAATATGTCCACAGTTTCGGCCCCACTCAGGTTCTCTGGTAGGCTATTCCAGAGGCTGGGGGCATAATAACTAAAGGCTGCCTCTCCGTGTTTCTTGGTCCTAGGCTTTGGGATAGTTAAAAGGCCAGTGCCAGAGGACCCGAGGGACCTACTGGGTACATAACTTAAAAACATGTCTGACATGTATTGTGGTGCACAATTAATTCTACAACTCACAGGCAGCCAGTGCAGAGTCCTTAAAACCAGTGTAATGTGCGCTCTCCATCTGGTCTTGGTCAGTATCCGTGCTACAGCATTCTGTATGTTTTGCAGTTGACCAATGGCGTTCTTGGGTAGACCAGACAGGAGAGCATTACAGTAGTCAAGCCTGCTTGTAGTAGAACATGGATGAGTCTCTCTGTATCAGCCTGAGAGAGAAACATTTTCCTTAAAGTGTTTTACTTTAGAGAGTACTAATGTTACTATCCCCATTACAATGGCCTCTCAATGGCCAGTACATAGCATCAGCAATCGAGGGTTTATATACATCATTGGTTTCGATTGCCAAGTACCTCAACTCCATTATGATTTCATCCACGGAGTTGAGCACAGACTTTAGTTTATTAAATGAACATCTGACTCATTCGTGTCGCTATGCAGTCAATACTTTAAAAAATAACTTTCTTAAACCCTTACCGTGTACCTATGTTTGTCCTCTTTTTTGCGTGCCTTTCTTTCTTTGCTGAAATCTGTACTATTTAATAAAACGTTAATCAAATACAACCACAGACTGTTTCCTCATTGCTGTTGCTCTAAGATGGCAACTCAGCACGAATGTGCATGTGCCAATTGAATCTCAACAAGGAAAAAGTTGGTGGTTACATTTGAAAAAATGTTTTATTAAAACATATGGATTTCAGCAAACAAAGAAAGGCATGCAACAACAGAGGACAAACATAGGTACACAGTAAGTTAAATTTTTTAAAGGATCGATTGCATAGCGACTTGAAGGAATCGGAGGTTCATTTCAAAAACTCTACTTTGTGCTCAACTCCGTGGATTAAAATATCATGGAGTTGAAGTACCCGGCTAGAGTTTCGATAGAGTTGACGATATGTCTCTCCATGCATGGCCAAGTTAATATATCAAGATACAAGGTCTACAATCCTTCCCTGGCCAATCATTGATTTGACAGCAGAGGAGAGCAGTATTATGGGAGATTGCCAACAAGGTTGAATAGGTGGGATGTCTGACTGACACTGCTGATACCTGAACTGTCCTTAGTGTTCTCAAAGAAGACCACTAGTCTAAATTACATTATAGCCACAGAAGTTAGGGGGTTTTCAACGTGTTTTCACCTGATCCTCCTGTTTCTGTGCTCAGTGGAGGTGACAGGAGAACAGCAGTATGGTGGCCTGGGAGGAGAGATCACCCTGACCCCCAAGGTCTCAGGACAGCCTGAGGACATCCTATGGAAACACAATGGAAACAAGGTGGTGGAGTTTGATGGGAGTCAGAATGTGGAGTATGGCAGGTATAAAGGCAGGACCGTCCTGGACTGGGACTCTGGAGAGCTATCTATCAAAGGTCTCACTGATGCAGACAGTGGGCCCTATGAGTTAGAGGCTGTCATCAACGGCAAGCTGCAGTACTCACAACATGAGGTGGACGTTATTGGTAAGTGTGTAATGTTATTGTCTAAAGGCTTGCATGTCAGGTTTGTGTGTATACAGTGTGTTTATTTACAGTATCAGTACGGGCGTTTAAAAAAGTAATCATTAGGCATAGACAACGGATGATTAAGTGATGCCAGAATTGTAAAAAAAAAATTGTATACCTTGGGTACTGTACCTAATGAGTCAGGACCCACATATTCTCGCCTAGCTCTTGAACTCTCGTTCCAGTGTGATATTGAAACTGCCCCCTTATCATCATTACATCTTTATTACAAATGTTAAAAGTTGCTGGACAGGTTTTCACCCACACCAACACACCTATCCTCAGATCAGTTGAGCTGAAAACGGCTTCTCTCTTTGCTGTGTGTGTGTGTGTGTGTGTGTGTGTGTGTGCTCGTGTGTGCACGTGTGTAGATGATGTGGCACAGCCCAGCGTTACCTGTGTGGTCAGCATCACAACCCCAGAGAAAATGGACAGAACCCTGCTGTGCTCAGCTGACCTTCAGCCCCTGACCAAGTTCATCTGGAGGAGTCCTGGAGGGTCAGTAAGTCCAGGACCTGAACTGTTCATAGCTGGGGGGGAGAACCAGGAGTCTGTCTACACATGTGTGGTGAAAAACCCTGTTAGTGAGAAAACTGCAGAGTTCACCCTGAAGGACTGCTATGCTGGTAAGATAACACTTCTAAACTGCAGTTATAGTAATATATCGTACTCTCACTTTCATTCTCTCTCGTGTTCACAATTTGGATGTATTATGTAATGCTGCCAAGACATTTGCATGCAATGTACATGCTGTACATTTATTGCGAGTGAGAACATGGTTCAGAGAGACATGGAATGAGATTTTTGTGAATACAATGTTATAGTGAGCATGCTAAACATCTTTTTTGAATATCCAGGATATTCATATATTAGTCACTTGCGTTACTATATAATTCATAGTGTTATGACTGCTTAATTCATGTGTTATTAAGTGTGAAAATGCTGCTGATCCAAGTTGTTTTAATGGTGTTTCTGTGCAGAGGAAGGCTCATCCAGTGTCCTGGCTGTGATCCTGTCCATCATCATCATCCTCCTCATCTTAGTTACCGTTCTGGTATTATTGTGGCGCTGGAGGAAAGGCAAGAAACGTAAGACCATCCTATGTCCTATGTCAAAATCAGGCCTGAAGGCCAACCTTTAGTTCCAGACTCCAGAAATATAAGGGGCATAGTTCAGTATTAAGGGAGGAAAAGCCCCTCATTCTAATGATCTGGCTAGACCAGAGTCAATCCATTTCCTCCCTACTCCCCTGGCATGTGCTGAGCTTTCAGATGATCACGGTCCCAGTGACGCCAGCTGACTTGTTACAAGGTCATTGACCTTGGATCTGAGATTAGAGATTAGAGTAGAGGAGAGAAAAGAGTACAACCAGCAAACACAGCAAAGTACATACATAGTCTTTCTAGTTAGACATATAAATGATACAGCATGTTTACCCACATCTCTTCCCTATGTCTAATTCTGTCCTTTATCCCTCTTGTCTTTTCCACTCTGTGGTGGATGACCAGTGGCTGAAGCTGCACTGAGAAAATCTGAAGAGGAGGCGCGGCTGATGAAAGTTACAGTACAAGGTTGTTTAGCTGTAAAAATGCTATTTTGAACTTGAGGTGTATTGCTATAGACTTCGTTTGGCCATCACATATATTTTAAGACAACACTAATACCTTACCACTTTGCTGTTTCTAAATAAAACTATTTTGTTTTAATTTAATAGGAAACCAAGATCCTGAAGATGACCATTCTGAGAACACTGGAAATACAACTTATACACAAAAAGGTTCTCCTTATATGGTGTTTATTACCTTGGGCATAAGGAACTTTGAATACATATGGTAATAATGGGAATGAATGTTTTTGTGTGTACAGGACATGTGATAGAGCTGTTTAACAAGCAGGATGCAGATGCAAACAGTAAACAGCACACCGCACCAACTGGAAGGATTTTGTCTCCAACAAAAAGTGGGGGTCACATCCCATTGGACAGACAGAATGACAGGCTCTCAGACAAACAGACAGGTGATTTTTTTCTCCCATGGCAGATAGCTTAAACAAAATAGTCAATATTGAGACTGACAATGACATAAGTCATGTTATCATTAAGACAAATGTGTCTATATAATAGTGTTTGTGTAGTCATGTATCAACCCATTTTCTCAATCTGTGTTTCAGAGACAGAGCCAGTACAGGACAAACCCACCCCGGCCCAACCAGACCTAGTCACACCAGACCCCACCCTGGCCCAACCAGACCCAGTCACACCAGACCCCACTCTGGCCCAACCAGACCCAGTGACACCAGTGCCCACTCTGGCCCAACCAGACCCAGTCACACCAGTGCCCACTCTGGCCCAACCAGACCCAGTCACACCAGACCCCACCCCGGCCCAACCAGACCTAATCACACTAGACCCCACCCTGGCCCAACCAGACACAACAGTTACCATTCTGGGCCAACCAGACCCAGGCACATCAGAGTCTACCCTAGCCCAACCAGACCCAAGCATACCAGAACCCAAAGAAGCCCAGCTAGGTCCGGACACACCAGAACCCAACCAGGAAACAGGAGTGTCGGAGACAAAGCCAGTCCAGGACAGGCCTGGGAACAAGGACAGCACTCCACTCTTGAACAACTCAGACGCCATGTTCCTCCTCAGCACAGACACACATGTTGCTCTGGACCACAATGGTGGGAAATCAAACATCCATGAGCCTCAAGGCCTACAGAGAGACCAAGAGGGAGATGGAAAACCTTTGGCAGAGTCAGAAAGTGGTGTTGGTGAGGAGGACATGAACCTATCAAGAACCAACTCTGACAACTCTTCCTTCCAAAGTGCCAACGAGAACAATGATGATGATGATGGTGGGGATAAAGAGAAGTCTCTCCAAGCACAGGACCACAACAATAAACCACCCAATCAGGAGAGAAAATCAGCTTTGCAGCACATTGACACGACAGGGCAGGCCCAGATACCACCACCATCACCAGAGTCCAGCAAGACCCAACTACACCAACCCACACCAAAGCCTTCTCCAGACCAAATCACGACAGAGACAGCTCTAGCACAAACATGCCCTATCACAACAGAGTCAGCTCCATACCAAAAAGACCCAATAACAAGAGAGACACCTCCAGGCCAAACGGACTCAGCAGGCACAACAGATCCCGCCACGGCCCAAACAGACCCAGGCACAACAAAACCGGAAGAAGCTCAGCTAGGCATAAACACACCAACACCCAAAGGGGCTCCACTAAATGCAGAAACAGAAAAACCCAACCAGGACATAGGAGAGCACAAGAAGGCCCAGATAGACCTGGACACACCAGGTCTTAAACAGGAGAATAAACTAGACCAAGAATCAGACGAGCCCCAAGAAGAGATCCTGCCAGACCTGTACACGGGAGATGGCAAACACGAGAGCGAGTCAGGCACTGAAGCAGAGACACCTGAGCAGGTGAAGCTTGCTGAGAGCCTGGAGGAGAAGACATCCCAGAGATCTACAACTGCTACTGGGGGAGAAGGGGATATGGCGGAGCACAGAGTGCAGGATACAGAGACAGGCAGAGAGAAAGTGGAACAGGTTAGACAGGTGGATGCAAAGACCAAGGTGGACGTTAGGAAGGATGGAGAGACAAACCACAACCAAAGGGATTGGAAAGAGGGAAAGCAGAAGGTGGAACTGGACAAAAAGAAATAGGGAGAGGAGCTTGGGGCAATTGTTGGAGAGATGGACAAACAGATAGAAGAAAAAGATAAAGATGTGGAGGAGATACAGAGATGGATAGAGAGAATAGAGGAGAGGGGGAATGATGCAAACCCAGAGATAAAGAAAGGACAGTACACAGCAGACCACAAAGACAAGAACCAGACAAATCAACACACAGGAGGACAACCAGGATACCCAGTCAGGGGAACCAGCCAGGGGAGTAGAGACAGAATAATGATGTGGAAGAATAAGGGAAAGGGCAAAGAGGAAGTAATAAAGAGACTGAGAGGAGAAAGATGAGAAGAGAAAAGAGAACAGAGATGGAAAATGGACCACAATAGAGGTATTGGTGCAAACACAGAGGATGAGAGGGGAAATGAAGGAGAGATGGAGGAGGAAGGGGAAGAGGAGAAGGAACCAGACACAGAGAAAGAAGGAGATGATACCAACCAGACATCCACCCAGAGTCATGAGGAGATGGATGAGACACCCACCCCAGACCCCAATGAGCAGCACATTACCCAGACTACACTACAGGGGCAGTCCAGTGACTCCACAGGAGCCCTAGAGAACCAAGAAGAGATGGAACATGAGACACCCACCCCAGACCCCAATGAGCAGCACATTACCCAGACTACACTACAGGGGCATTCCAGTGACTAAGGGAAACAACCCAGTAGAATTCTGGGACAGCTGTATGACTTTAAATGCACTGTTTTTGAGATGACACTAGTTTGGATAACAGGCCTCCACCTTATTTTCTAGTGGAGTTAGAAGTGCTGCCTTCATACTGTTAGAAGAAAGACTGTAGTGAAGAAAATGCTGGATGCTACATATTTATTGATTGACTTTCACAGTGAAAAGAAAAGTGAATGAAGTGCTCAGTGTAATAGAAGCATTGGAATTTCTTGATTTTGTTTTCATAGTTTGCATACAGCATTTTATTCTCTAGTTATGTTTCAGTTCTATGCACATGTGGTAGCTAACATAATACATTATTTACTACAAGTTAATACACTTTGTTATTTTAGATCAATTTAAAGATATGTTTTAATTAACCTTAACATACTGTCTTAGGCTACTGATATGCCATCTTTATGGGTTGTCAGAGGTCCTCAGTGATCAGTGTAAATAAATAAATGTTAACAGAATGATGTGAATAAATGACTCTAGAACAAGCGGGTGTCACTCTGCATCATGTGGGACTAAACAGCCCCCCAGCAGTGGCCTGTATTCATGGATGCCAAGGGAAGCCTGGCTTCCCCAAATATTTAACCAATAAATAAATACAAATTCTAAAATAATGTATCTTTCTCTCTGTGTTTTCATAATTTTCCGTCAATTCGCAAGTGGCTGAATCTCACCGGAGAAATCATCTGAACGAGGGAAACAGCGCCCCTCTGTCAGCATGTAATTGATACTGTCTGGACCAAAAAAGTATTAACGTGTTGCCTCTGTAGCATTTGATTGATTGATGCCAGCAAACGTTTGGAATCCCTTGATAAAAACGTTATAAAGGAATTAGCCAATCAGCGTTGAGCTGAGCTCAACTGTGGGTTGTCCAAGTGCAGCAACACGCCCCCCAAGGGAGGCTAGATTGGATTTGGCTTTAGACCAATCAAATCACTTCCTTTGCAAAACGTCATTTTCAGAAACCCTTTTCTGTTTCTGGTCTGCTTGTGTTGATGTCCTGCAGTAGCTAGCTTGCTAAATCGTCAATTTCTGAAGCTATGGATGGAGATGGGGATTTGGACTTGTGGTTTCTACTGAATTCTCTGTACCGACCAATTGTTTTTTTTTAAATGATTTTTTAAATTGAACCTTTATTTTATTATGAAGCCGATTCTGATCTAACCATGAATTAATATATTGTGCCACTGGCCTGAGATTATTGAAGTTCAGTATGTAGCCTAGATGTAACGTAGTAGAGTCACATTAATTGGAAGAATGGAAGAAAACTAAACTCCCTGCCGACCTGGCATCTTTTCACTCCCTCCTCTCTACATTTTCTTCATCTGTTTCTGCTGCTAAGGCCACCTTCTACCACTCTAAATTCCAAGCATCTGCCTCTAACCCTAGGAAGCTCTTTGCCACATTTTCCTCCCTCCTGAATCCCCCCCCCCCCCCCCCCCTCCTCTCTCTCTGTGGATGACTTCGTCAACCACTTTGAAAAGAAGGTTGACGACATCCGATCCTCGTTTGTTAAGTCTATTGACACTGCTGGTCCTGCTCACACTGCCCTACCCTATGCTTTGACTTCTTTCTCCCCTCTCTCTCCAGATAAAATCCTGCGACTTGTGACTGCAGGCCGCCCAACAACCTGCCCGCTTGACCCCATCCCCTCCTCCCTTCTCCAGACCATCTCCGGTGACCTTCTCCCCTACCTCACCTCGCTGATCAACTCATCCTTGACCGCTGGCCATGTCCCTTCCGTCTTCAAGAGAGCGAGAGTTGCTCCCCTTCTCAAAAAACCAACACTCGACCCCACTGATGTCAACAACTACAGACCAGTATCCCTTCTTTCTTTTCTTTCCAAAACTATTGAGCGTGCCGTCTTTAGCCAACTCTCTTGCTATCTCTCTCAGAATTACCTTCTTGATCCAAACCAATCAGGTTTCAGGACTGGTCATTCAACTGAGACTGCTCTTCTCTGTGTCACGGAGACTCTCCGCACTGCTAAAGCTAACTCTCTCTCCTCTGCTCTTGTCCTTCTAGACCTGTCTGCTGCCTTTGATACTGTGAACCATCAGATCCTCCTCTCCACCCTCTCCGAGCTGGGCATCTCCGGCGCGGCTCACTCCTGGATTGCGTCCTACCTGACCGGTCGCTCCTACCAAGTGGCGTGGCGAGAAGCTGTCTCCGCACCACGTGCTCTCACCACTGGTGTCCCCCAAGGCTCAGTTCTAGGCCCTCTCCTTTTCTCCCTATACACCAAGTCACTTGGCTCTGTCATATCCTCACATGGTCTCTCCTATCATTGCTACGCTGACGATACACAACTAATCTTCTCCTTTCCCCCTTCTGATAACCAGGTGGCGAATCGCATCTCTGCATGTCTGGCAGACATATCAGTATGGATGACGGATCACCACCTCAAGCTGAACCCTGGCAAGACGGAGCTGCTCTTCCTCCCGGGGAAGGACTGCCCGTTCCATGATCTCGCCATCACGGTTGACAACTCCGCTGTGTCCTCCTCCCAGAGTGCGAAGAGCCTAGGCGTGACCCTGGACAACACCCTGTCGTTCTCCGCCAACATCAAGGCGGTGACCCGCTCCTGCAGGTTCATGCTCTACAACATTCGGAGAGTACGACCCTGCCTTACACAGGAAGCGGCACAGGTCCTAATCCAGGCACTTGTCATCTCCCGTCTGGACTACTGCAACTCGCTGTTGGCTGGCCTCCCTGCCTGTGCCATTAAACCCCTACAACTCATCCAGAATGCCGCAGCCCGTCTGGTGTTCAACCTTCCCAAGTTCTCTCACGTCACCCCCCTCCTCCGCACACTCCACTGGCTTCCAGTTGAAGCTCGCATCCGCTACAAGACCATGGTGCTTGCCTATGGAGCAGTGAGGGGAACGGCACCTCTGTACCTTCAGGCTCTGATCAGTCCCTACACCCAAACGAGGGCATTGCGCTCATCCACCTCTGGCCTGCTGGCTCCCCTTCCTCTGCGGAAGCATAGTTCCCGCTCAGCCCAGTCAAAACTGTTCGCTGCTCTGGCACCCCAATGGTGGAACAAGCTCCCTCACGACGCCAGGACAGCGGAGTCACTCACCACCTTCCGGAGACATTTGAAACCCCACCTCTTTAAGGAATACCTGGGATAGGATAAAGGAATCCTTCTACCCCCCCCCCCCCCCCCCCCCCCCCCCCCAATTGTAAAGTGGTTATCCCACTGGCTATAGGGTGAACGCACCAATTTGTGAGTCGCTCTGGCTAAGAGCGTCTGCTAAATGACGTTAATGTGCCCTTGAGCAAGGCACTTAACCCTAATTGCTCCTGTAAGTCGCTCTGGATAAGAGCGTCTGCTAAATGACTAAAATGTAATGTAAATATTAACTAACTAGCTAGCTAGCTAATTTAGCTGGTTCATAGTTGCCCATGCGAGGAAGTCAGGCTAGCAAGCATTTTAACTAGGTAGCCTGTGACAACAAAAACTAAAAGTGTACTGTATGACAGAGCCATAGACCGTTTTGCCAACATGAAAGAGAGGAGGATAGCATTGGCGTTCAACTAGTCTATGAGTAGGGCGAGTAAAACAAAAAAACATTTACTTGCATGCGCACACACACAGAGAAATCACTACCATGGACAGCCACATGATATTTAGCAACATTGATTGGACTAAATTGTTTTTGGTATCTTTAAGTTTGTGTTCAGTATATTCAACTGAGCATATATAGCCTTGTTGTTTAAATGTTTAAGTTGAAATGGTGCTGGAATAGCAGAGGCAGTGGTCCTGTTGTCTTTGTGCTGACTTGCGGTAACTCCATGGTTCTAAATCAGTAGTTGTTTAGAAAACTGTCGAAAACATTACCTTGCAGCACCATGCTGCAAGTGATGTAACTGCTTCTTCTTCTTCTTCTTCTTCTTCAATGGTACTATATTATGGCGGTCCGCAAACAAGTATTATAGGTGCATGCTGCCACCTACTGTAGCGGTGGTAAACTATAGAAAAATATCCATTGTATGAAAGGGGGTTAAAACGACATCATACAAAATACAGAAATAGACACAAACAAAAATTGTCACTTCCTTCAGTCACATTCCAATCAAGTGACATCCCTGTGAGGGCTGAACATCCTTTGACAGGATTTCTTGCAATGCCTCAGCTGTAAACTTATTGACATCCAAAAAGCGTTTTGCTGCACTCACAATGATTCCAATTTTCTCTGATTTATTTTTCGTTTGTGCTGTGCAGTTTATGACCATTGCAATAAGTGCTACAAAGTCCATCTTTTTCACCTGTAAAATATCAGGATCCCTTGATG